ATAGATAGATAGATAGATAGATAGATAGATAGATAGATAGATAGATGATGGATGGATAGATAGATAGATATAAAATTTAGTTAAAAATAGTAGAAAAATTGACTCAGATCTGAGAAAGCATAAGTAGAATAACATACTATGTATATGAGTCTATCATCTACATTTTTCTATAATGTTGCAGAAGATATTTTATCCAATTCAGATAATTGGTAAATGATAAACACTTAAAAAAATTCCAAGCTGTAATAACTAAATGTTGGGTCTTGAGAAACATTTTTTGCAAAAAAAAAAATCTTTTCTCATCAAAATTCTTTACTTATATCTGATCCTATGATTTCCCATTGATGGAAGGACCCTTTGGGGCTCATATTTCCCAAACAAAACTAGGGCTGCAACTAAAGAAACGATACCAAAGTATTAATAAATCTGGATTCATTCAATGAACTTCCATTGTTTACTTTAGAATTTTCATACACCATTTATTTTAAGAGGGAAGATAAGATCTTTGCATTTGAAACTGTAATCTTAAAATGTTTATTGCTGGGGCAATTCACCTTTTTTGTATAGATATAAACCTGTACGGATCTTTTGGATGCTTGCAGGTTTGTATCCATAGATTTCAGATAACTTTAAATGTGTCTATTTATGAAAACTTCATCCCACTTCCTGTAAGCATAGTATCTAGAGCCATAATTCTAGAAATATACCTAACATTTGCCATTAATTACTCATCCATGCACATCTTCATGCCATGATAAATAATATGTTGTGCAAAACCTATCAACTGTTAGAGGAGAACTGGAAGACTGGAATGAGTCAAAAAGGTAGTAATTTATTTCACTGATGTCTTTTGAGAATTCAAAAGTCTATTAAAGTTGCCATGCCACATAAACATGCCATCAATATAATAAATGCATATATATTTTGAATTTATTTTTAATATTTCAAGTTTGAAAAGTTCTCTAAAGTGTGTATACTTTTATACAAATGTGATACTAACAAAACAAAGGCATAATATTAAAAGGCATAACATCTTAGCTAGCCTTCCACATATACTGTACTTACTGTACTTGTAGTGTGGCTATATAATTTAGTTGTGATGCCCAAAGAGATTTTTTTCTGAGCCCCATTCAAGTGATTTGAGATGTCTCAATGCAACTAATTATATAAATCTGTATTGAGAATCACAAATTATTAGTAAGTAGTTTTCCCAAGCTTCAGCTTCATAATAGGCCATACCAGAGGTGGGGTCCTACCAGTTCGCACCTATTCGGTAGAACCGGTTCGTCAAATCTACCGAACAGGTTAGAAGAGGTTCCACCAGTGGACCCGGATAGCAGGCCACACCTACAGAAGAGGTTCCAAAATTTTTTGAAACCCACCACTGGTCCTTGGATATAATTATTCTACACTATCATGCTCCTATTTATAAAACTCAGTGCCTCTGTGAAAGGTAAGGATGACTACTGCGTTTGTGGTGCAATCAGAACATTCCATGTGTTGAAGTTGTTTTAACACAAACCAAAGATGCCTTTTAAAAACAAGTTTACATCATATTCTTATGCATGCCAGTGCTGTGTGTGAGGTAATTTAAGGTGGTTCTGACAAGTGTCATTGGCATCTTCATATCCGGTCACATGGGCAGCAAGTCACTCCCATCCGGTCACATGGGTGGCAAGCCACTCCCACAAAGGAGGCCACATCCACAGAGTAGGTTCGAACAATTTTTGAAACCCAACACTGGGCCATACATACAGTATTTAGATTTAGATATACAGCTCTCATCAAACATTGTCAATTACAAAGAAAAGAAGTAAATGTTAATATGATTTAGGATCAAAAATATGAATGAATATGCAAGAAAATTTCCTTAAGAGGCATATTACCATGTCATTCACACACTGCTTTTCATTTTTTTCCATTCAGGGAACAGTCCAAAGAAAATGGCCCTTGAACATTTACATACACAGAAAAACTAAAATAAAACTTTACATTCTAACAGAAACACTCCTCAATGCCAAAAAAATCAATTGCCAGAAACTATATGCCAAGATTTTTTTTCTTATTTCTGATTCTTTGCCTATCATATAATACTATCTTAAATGGAAGGAAATCAAGCAATACCTGAGGAGTCTTTAACAGGTTCCCAGCGTAAATCATCATTTCTTTCCTTGATCCATCGACACAAACCACCATCAAAGTTGCAACTATGAATCAGAAGACCTACAGAAATCAAGAAAAAGGCCTTCAGACTTTAGGCAGGTTAACTCATTCCTCTGTAAACATGCTTTCATTCCAATACTTTGAAGGTACTAGACTGGTAGAGGCTAAGCTAAGTGTGAGGTTATTACATGGAGTCACTGTTCACACAAATAATGTAAAGAATATATCGATCACATTTGCAAAAAGGAGAAGCTTTTATTAATCCATTAGTTGATGGAATTCTAAGCCATTTTCTTGCTGTGCTCTTCTCTTCATTTCTACTTTTAGAAAAGTATGGGTTACCCACTTTAGTTAAAATTTGCCATATTGGGGCAAATTATAAAGTTGTGCAGATTTCATTAGAGTTATCCTATGACTTTCATTCTGTCATACCACAAATATCCATCCCACCCAAATTTTGTGCACAAAGAGGAAGTGTTCTGGATTTTAAAATCACGAATTCTCGCAATTGAAGTGGGGAACTGCAATTTAAGTAGTGGTTTCAAATCTAATCAATACCTGAAGAAAAATGGTTATTGTGGAAAAAATCAATATTTTGAGGAATTTGGGGAAGAATATATGCTTTATATTTACTATATACTGTATATACTTATAATAGATAAAAGACACAAATCATTAAAAATACCTGAATAAAATATCAATAGTTAGCCTGTCTTATAATATATACTATATATTTACTTGATATATACTTTATATTTACATTTACTCAGAATTCAAGGAATGGCTTTCAGTAAGTAGAGTTCTCATTTTATACTGCAAGCACAACTGGTTTGTACCCATAAGTATTAAAGTACACATATGCTCGGTGGAACACATATTCTTAGGAATGTGGTACATAACAAACACTAATGCTTCTGCCTTAACAGCGCTTTCTAGAATGCTAGCTAGATCCAAAGTGACAAAATGCTTACCTGGATCATCATTTGCTTCATCTTCATTGGCACTTATCCCTTGTTCAATTTCAAACGTTTCTAAGAGATGGTTGCTCACTCCAGGCTGGCGGGGAACTGGAAGAGGAAACCATCAAGCCGTTAAAAAAGAAACAATAAAATAGAGAAGGAAGTCAACTGCAGATTATTACATAGATTACCTACCAGCCTATTGTTAAGCTTCACTGCAAAAGGCATTTGGGAGAGCTTGTAAGAAACACAAGGATTTCAGAGGGGGAGCAGTTGAAGTTGCGACGACATGGCGTGCGATCTCAATGTTCTGAGATTGCAGTCGACACTTTTGTCTCTGGGTAGTCTAAACAGACCTAAACCGTCCCGTAGAGATGG